ACATTTCTCCCCCCACCACCCCCAACAGCAGGGAAAGCTGCCCCTGTGATCCCCTCAGCCCACCCCGTCAACAGCCAGAGTCCTGGCTTCCCACCCCACCTCCCACTATACCCCCCTCCCCTTTCACAGGTCTCTGCCACTGAGCCATGGGGTGCGTGGGGGGTCTTCTCAGTGCAGCTGTTTGTACCCTCAACCACCCCCTCCTGCCCCTGGCTACTCCCGGCGCTGCTGCCCTGCTCTGTTGCGGGCCAATCCTCTGCTCCCCTCATCACCCGCTTCCTTTCACCTCTGCCTCAGGGCTGCTGCCCCCCACGACCAGTTGTGCCCAGCTGCGGGGCCGGGGTGGGTGCCCTGCGTGCCCTGGCAGGAGGGAGTCCTCCCTGCTCCTCTGGAGCCAGGCCAGGGGCTGAGAGCAGCAGGCTCCGAGCAGGGCAGGTCTGGGCCCACCATGGTCTCTCACTCGGAGCCGGCACCAGAGGCCTTGCACAGCAGGTCCCGTGTCGGCTCCCTCTCCCATGCAGCGGGGGGGGGGCAGACCCGAGGCCAGGTGCTGGCTCTCAGGGCTGGGGCCTGGCACTGGAGGGGGAGGCCTGGTTCTGAATGCAGGGTCTGGGCCATGGGCTGGCCAAGAGCAGGAGGGACCTGGGGCCTAAGCCAGGTCACTGTGAGGCGGGGGGGCTGGTTCTGGGGCCTGGGCTGGGTCAGTGTGTGTGGGGGAGATTGGTTTTGGGGCCTGGGCCAGGTCACTGTGAAGCCGTGGGTGAGGGGCACAGGGGGGGTAGGGGAAATGGGGTGCAGGGTGGGAGCTGGGTGAGAGTGAGGGTATGAGCTTGGGGCACTGACCTGGCCAGCTGCCCCAGCTGCTGGCTCGCACGCGTGCACGCACCCCCCGCACACTCACGCACGCTCATGCGGGTGGCTTTTCTGAGACAATTATCCGGGATAATCTTTATGCAGATTACGAAGATCTGATGGACGAGCGGGGAAATGGGGTGCAGGGTGGGAGCTGGGTGAGAGTGAGGGTATGAGCTTGGGGCACTGACCTGGCCAGCTGCCCCAGCTGCTGGCTCGCACGCGTGCACGCACCCCCCGCACACTCACGCACGCTCATGCGGGTGGCTTTTCTGAGACAATTATCCGGGATAATCTTTATGCAGATTACGAAGATCTGATGGACGAGCAGATTGGACGCCTGTTTATTAAAATATGGATTTGGATCCGGGTGGGCAGAGCAAGGCTGCGGGGGGAGGGAGGCAGGGGGTGGCCCGGGCGGGGAGAGGGCGGGGTGCACTAGCTCTCTATAAATTGCTAACACCGACTGGCACCTGGGCTTTCACGGTGGGAACAGGCGGGGCAGGGCACCACACCCGGAGGGCTCTGGACACTTGCCTTGGGGTGAGCAGCGGCCGTGGGCAGAGGAGCCATCAGGGCAGTTTGTGGTCCTGGTTGGCAGCACCAGGCTCAGGATGGCCACAGTGGAAGGCAAAGCCGAGGAGGAGGAGAAAAAGGAGCCATCGCCGGCCCCCACCCCATCCAGTGGGGTGAGTGAGGGACCATGGACGCCAGACCCCTGTGCACTTTAGGAGGCACCCAGCTGCCCCGGGCCTCTGGGGGCTCTGAACGCTCCAGAACCCCCTGGCCTGGGGTTCCAGGGAAAGGCTTGGTCAGCAGAGGAGTCCCCAAAGGGTCAGGTCTGATCACGTGAGTCCAGGAGGACGGGCTGCCTGGGATCAGGGAACGGGGTCAGGGGAGGATTGTTGGGGGCATTTGAGAGATTTACAAAGAGAAAATGTTTACACTGTATGGGCTGTGTTGCTATGCTGGCCCCATGCCCACCTCTGCCCGCGCCGTGCCCACCTCTGCCCACCCCATGCCCACCTCTGCCTGCGCC